CTCAGCATCTCCATCTCTTTAAATGTTTATCGTTTCCCTTTGTCACGAATCCACAAGTTCCACTCTACTTGTTTTTATAAAATATATAATAAATCGTCGTGAACTATAGACATGCTATTGTGCTGTAGGTCAGAAAAGCTCTTTTCGGACATGACATTGCCTCACTCCATGGCCAGAAAGTATTTCTTCCCAAGTAAAGTGACTGATGAATTCTCAAAGTGTGATGGACCCATGTGGTTTAGATAAGCCATTTGTCTGGGGTTCAGATGGAAAAGAGAATTGAGACGCCTCCATTGCTCAAACACCAGGTGCCTGAAAAGAAGACAAGGACCTTGCCTGGTGAATTCCCCAGGCTTCACATTCCAGAAGTGTCCAATTAAATGAGGCCAAGCAGTTGCTTCTGAAATCATAAATTCCAAAAGACAATGAAAGTTGCAATCACAAGGGGTAACAGAAGCCAAACACATTAGGAGCATGTTTCTTGAGCAAATAGCGTAATCCCGGACACGCGGGAACACATGGTTTGCCTCAAGCATGTTTCATTTTGTCATCGCACTGAGTGCACAGGATTTCTCTCTGGGTGCAAGAGTGATTGATTTCCTTAGGAGAATTGTTTGTAAGAACATGAAAGTTGCCAAAGCAAACACGTTGGAGGAAAGTGTAGAGAAGGGGAGTCAGAATATTTGGAGTAGATCTGGGCTTGGGAAGTTCACACAGAGGTGAGACAGTGAGATGTAGAACAAATAAAAACATTCTGCACACTTCATCTACATAAATTATGTTCAGAAATCCACTCTGTGTAGACATTAGTTGGGCAGCGACAAGTCTCCCGAGTGTGCCGCTAGAATGTAGGCAAGAAGCCAAGTTGTAAGTGATTGATTTTTAACTTTTCCTCCACATAAATTAATCTATTACTATTTAGATCATCATGATTTTCATCCATAAAAGTCATGTAGTCATAAAAAAACCAATCATCTATTTGTCTTTTATGATAGAATTCTATTACTAACTTGTAACTTGTATTAATAGATTTCCCCCAAATGTGTTGACTGAATGAAAAACATGAAGTATATTCCTTTTGTTTTTCTTGATTATTGGAAAGCCTATCTAAATAATATTTGTTATTGTGTGAATTTGAAATGTTCTTAGTCTGTTACTTTAATTGTGCAATTTTTTCTCAGTCAGCTCGCGGGCACTGTCATGGTGGGCGTGCTGAAGAAAACCACAGGCCTCATGGGTTTGGCTGTGTGTGAGATGCCGCACGAGACACTAAGAATATTATACACAAAGATTCTTGATGTTCTCAGTGAAATCCCTAAAAGTACTTTGCGTAGAAAATACACAGAACAAGTCGCACATGAGAGGATGCCTATAGTGAAAGTGGAACCAGAGGGTAAAAAATTAGAAGACCACCTTCAGCTTGGCCAAGTAGAGGAGGTGATTCTTCAGGTTGAAAGTGAACTAAGTCTGGCAAGGAAAATGGTGTGGTGGAATCCATGGGAGCCGTTAGCGGAAGAGCCTGCTGCCAGCCAGTGGAAGTGACCAATATGATTGTCATTTACTGCCTTTGGTGGTTGATGGGAATCTGATATAATTAACTGTTCTGTCATATCAAAAAAATTATACAATTTTATGTTACAAATAAGCATTTTGGCTGGGCATGGTGGAGCCTGCCTGTAATCCTAACATCGACAAGGCTGAGGCGGGAGGATAGCTCCAAGTGTGAGGTCAGCCTCACACTAAGCTGATTAAAAAAAAAAAAAAAATTAAAGCTCTTATCTGGGCCAGGGAAATGGCTCAGTGGAATGAGCACTTGCCTGGCAAGCACAAGGGCCTGAGTTCAATCCCAGGTTCCACCAAAAAGAAAAAGCTCTTATCTGCCTAAGTATTACCTTGTAAGAGATGGAAACTTGTCATATTTGTGATACTTAGACCCTTAAGTACCTAGTGACTTTATAGGCTAACAAATTGGAATTTTTTTTTATTCCATTAGGATTTTATTTTCCAGGTAGTATTCCAGGGTACAAAATGACATCAAAGAATTTGTTATGAGATCTTTGCATACACATTCCCACTTACTGATGGATGATATGCCAAAGACAAAATAAATCATTTAAAACAAAGGCAGGAACTCACTTTCTAATAGCCACATAGCTCCATTACAAGAAAGTCTTTATCATTCACAGTAAGTCCCAGTATCTTGCAGTCTCCCCACTACTGTCCTATTGTCCACCAGTACCTAAAGGAAGGGGAGATCCCTTCTACTCATTATCTACTGCTGCGTAACAAATAACACCCAGGTTTAGCTGCTTTAAAAAAAATTGTATCATCGCATGGTTTCTATGGCTCAGAAATCTGGGCACCATTTGGTTGCATTCTGTAGCTCTGGGTCTCTCATGTGGCTCTCAAGGCTTGACTAGGAAGAATATACTTCTCAGGTCATGCACAGGTTTGTTGGCAGAATTCTCTGCTTCTCTGGTTGATGGACTCAGGCCTCAAGTCTTTAGGGCTGTTGGCTGGAGGCCTCCATCCAGAGCATCTGACAGCAAATCAACCGTTTGCATCAGTGCTAGCAAGCAAGTGGATAGAGTACTAACCAGAGAAGACACAGTCTCACACCCTGGGCCCCCGCCAACATCCTGTCACTCTTGCATTCTCTGATGGATCAATTCACCATTGAGTTCACACTCAGGGCGAAGAAATGCCCCTGAACACCAGCAAGTGTGTGTCATTGGGAACTCCACCAGACGCTGCCCATCACATCACTAATGACTATTAGGGGTTGTTATAGTCAGGGGTTGCAAGGGAACAGATTCAACACAGGTCACATAATTTATAGGATTTTACCCAAAGAGTCAAATGCAGAAAAGTACAAGGAATATGTCTGGACAGTAGAGATCTAAAGAATCCAATTGAGGGCCTGGATCCCACAGCTATGTCCCCACTGTGAGTCCAACCAGAGCCTGGAGCCCATGGCAGTGTCCCCTGTGAATCCATACCAGAAGGCCAAGGAGTCTGTGATGGAACTCTAAAGGCCTGTGCTGGGAAGCCTAGGGGCCACTGCTGAAGCCTGCGGAGTCTGTGCCTCAGAGCCAGGATGTGAAGCTCAAGTGAAGGCTGGGACCAGAGCTCCTCCAAAGAGAACAGCAGCCGAAGCTCAGCAGCCTCTGTTCTCCTTGGATAGGAGTTGAGCAAGTGGGAGGGGACATGCTGTTTGAAATCTCTGGCAGTCGACATAGGTGAACTGAAGCAGAGCTCTCCCCGATTCTAGAGTAAGGCCCTTCTGAGGAAAACTAGCAGCATGCAGCATTCCCTCCTGTTCTCCTTATGCCATTCCAGCAGCCATCCTCAAGTGACCTTCCAAGACCAGAACCATAACGCTGACTCGGTTCAGCTCTGTGTGTCCATTCATGCTGACCATTAGTCAGTCCACCATAACAAAGTATTTCCCTTGCCTCTGAGACCCAGGTTCTACCCTAGGGCAGTGCCTCTCCCAGTGATTCCTAAAAGTGATACCAGCAGCACCAAGTCCAGAACTTGTTAGAATTGTACATTCCCAGGCCGCCTCAAGGCTACTGAATCAGAAACTCTGAGAATGGGGCCCAGCATACTAAATTTGAATAAGCCTGCCAGGTCATTCTGAGTGTGCTAAAGTTTGAGAAGGATTGCTTTTAAAACAAAGGGAACAGAGCTGGACAGGCCTCCCAATTTCCCTTTCCCAAAACCAGGATCTGTCATGGAAAGGCCTACCCACATCTTCCGCATACTCATGGATGTTAAAGATTTAATGATGTTGACTTGCAGGAAAAATCAGGAGATATCTTACAATAATGTCTCAGGTGGCGAATCTAGAAGACACTGTCTGCTTATTGATCTTTACCTTGGATTTCAGTGGATGTTGACTATCTAACCCCATAGGCTGACATTCCAAAGCTTTTGAAGCCAAGAAGAACTAGATCACTTGAACAAATCTTCCAAACAGCTAATCAACAGAAAAAAATGATCATGCACAGTCCATTCATTAGATTTGTTCATATGCCTCAATTCTCATTAAGGATTCTTCTAAAGGGTTCTTCTTAAACTTTATACTCATTCTCAAAAAAGAAAACAAATTGTGATGGCTTATAGGTACAGCCCTAAGATTTAAGATGAATGAGAATAGCTAATTCTGCATACTTGATCTTTTGGGTAGGAATTTAGATTATAAAGGAAGTTAGTATCATTTGCATGGAATGCTGAGAAAAAGGCTCCACTCCTTCCCAGTTGTGTCCCTTCAGACTCACCATCTCTGAGAGGCTTCCATGGTATTCTAGGAAAGAATAAAACTTCAGGGTGAAGGATTTAGGTGCACTTATAAACTCTGAAACTTAATACCTGTGTGGCCTGCAGCAAGCTATTTAACCTCTCTGAGCCTCTGTTTCCTAATATTTAACCAGAAAAAACCCTGTTTCCTACGTCTGATGTGTACATTAAAAGTGATATGACACAGAAGCTTCTAGTGTGTGACAGCTGCTAAGAAAAGTTATCCTGCCTTTCCTTCAACTTGTACTCGCTCTGTGCTTACTGTCCCAACTTACACATCTTAGACCTTCCATAAATGGTAGGTCTTCAGAAGGCCAGAGCTGTGCTGGACTTTCTTAGGAGGCAGGTAGTGGTGCTTACAGTGGGGCCCACCGATGTTCTAGTCCAGGATGCTTGTAGATTGTGCGGGTTCTCCCTGCCTCCTTCTTAGTATCTCACTGGGGAGATTCTCCTAAAACATTGTTCTTATTGCTCATATGATGGATTAACTGCTAATCCGAGCACGCAATCCAACAATCCCACATGATTATTATCCTGCTCCCTGTGTCACAAGAATAATGTACCTCATGATATTTCAGTGCAGCAATGGCTAAGACCTCAACTTCCCCCTAGGTCACTGGTGGTGAATGTAGGAGACACATTCCACCATTGCACCTTGGCACATCTTTCCCACTTTTCTGTGAACACAACTAATAAAGAATGTACCCATGCTGTATTTAATTTTAAGTAGTATGGCTCCACTGTGGCCACTCTGGGATCAGATGCTGAAAACAAGATCCACAATGACAGCTATTCCAAGCCTTCTATGAACGGACTGCATGTAATTGCATGTAAGTTGCTGCAATAAAAAAGGCAGGCTGGAGTCAGCAGTTCAGATGAGAATACAGCAAATCCTATGCTTTTATAATATACTCAGTTATTTAAAAGGATCTGATAATACTAATTCCTTGCCTTTATAGGCACAATCATGTATCAATGAACAACAGAATGACACTTTGAGAGATATGTCACTGAGCAGCTCCACTAATGTGCAAACCTCATGCTATGTATTTATACCTAGTAAGACGGGTACAATGTCACTAAGCAACTTAATCTTATGAAACAATTGTCTTTCTATTCATAATCTCATCCAGCGATTCATGGCTTACAGAGAATTTAAAATACTGTGTAGTAATGTCTCAAAGTCTTACGTGAAATGATTGTTTTTAAATTACTGTTTGGTGTGTATGTGCTGTTTTTACTCAGGTAGTATATTTAGGTCAAGCAAGTAAATATAAGTATGAAGAAATCATGTTCCATTTGAGTGGAAAGATCTTCTAAAAATCTTATACCTACCTACTGGGGAGATAGCTCAGTAGAATAAGTGTCTGCCTGGCAAGCACAGGGGGCCTGAGTTTAATCCCTGGTACTGAAAAAAAAATCAGAAAAATCCTCACTCCAGACAGCACCAGGCCAGGCGTGTGTGTGGAACTTCCTCCATCAGACAGGCCTGGTGTGGAACCCTGTGGCAGAACTCCCTGCAGAGAGGCTAGAGGCAAGACCCACCCAGCTGAGCCAGGAGCAGAACATCTTGCCAGAGTGGCACAGTAGGTTCACTTCCAAGGGCTCTAGCAGGAAGAAGTGGAGCACCGGAGCCAATCCAAGCCACACCCACCTGGATGAGTTTGAACTTGGTAGATCTGGACCCGGTGCTAAGGTAATAATTGTACAAAGCTCGGTCTGCGGAGCGGCTGTAGCCTGTGAGCAGCGAGATCCAGGGACAGAGTCTCAGCCTCGCCGCCACCGCCCAGAGACCACTGCGCCCGTCCGTTCGCCGCCACCCACCCGAGACACAGAACATCCAGGCATGGATAAAAACGAGCTGGTGCAGAAGGCCAAACTGGCCGAGCAGGCTGAGCGATATGATGACATGGCAGCCTGCATG